CTCAAGGTCGAGACCAATGCCGATGCCGATGAGCTCTCCTCTCGCACCCTGCCGCCACCGTCCTCTTCATCCTCTCCTTCTGGCACGTCCCCTTCCGAGGTCACGATAGCTGCTTCCACTCCAACCATGACGGCCTCTGTCACGAAGCGCAAAGGGGAAATCATCACCATTCCCTACGACAAGCTCGTCGTCGCCGTAGGCTCCTACTCTCAGACCTTTGGCATCCCCGGCGTGCGCGAGCACGCCAACTTCCTGCGCGATGTCGGCGACGCTCGCTCCATCCGTCTACGCGTCCTCCAGTGCTTTGAGCGCCGCCGCCCTGCCCACCGCCAGGGCCGAGCAGCGCCGGGCGCTTCTTCACTTTGCCGTCGTCGGCGGAGGTCCCACGGGCATAGAATTCGCCGCCGAGCTGCACGACCTCATCTACGAGGACCTCGCCCGCCTCTACCCCCAGTTGATGCCCTCGGTGGCCATTACCGTCTATGACATTGCCCCCAAGGTGCTGCCCATGTTCGACAAGCAGCTTGCCTCGTATGCCATTGACTTGTTCAAGCGCCAGGGCATCCGTGTCAAGACTGAACACCACCTCACGCAGATTCGCCAGGATGACCAGTCCCCGCACGGCGCTCTCAAACTCTCGATCCAGGAAGAGCCCGGCGCCGAGATCGGCGCCGGCCTTGTTGTCTGGAGCACCGGCCTCATGCCTAATCCGCTCGTACAGAAAATGGTTGCGCGTGAGCTGCGGCTTCCGGGGTCAGGCGACAACAGCACGCCCGAAACGTTTCATCTCCAGACGGGGCGCTCCGGCGGGCCTCCTCACGGATGATCACCTCCGCCTGCGTTCTCGATCAAGGCGACCGCACCCTGCCCGATGTCTTTTGCCATGGGCGACTGCGCCGTGATGGGACCGCGAGGCCCTGCCCGCCACGGCCCAGGTCGCCTCCCAGCAGGCCGTGTACCTCCGCCCGCTCCCCTCAACCGCCACGGCGACGACGTTTCGCGCGCGAAGCTTTTTGGGTGGCGCAATCTCGGACCATGGGCTTATCTTGGGAAGCTGGGCGTGCTATCCATCCAAATCTAGCCCGACGGGCTCCCGGGTAGGGTGGCTTTGGGTGC